CATCTTAATTTCACATGTCAACCCTTTTTCACTAAAACAATTTCACAATTTCATTTTTGTTCATTTGCTTTTTTGAGACAAGGTTTCACTATGCAGTACTGGCTGTCTTGGAATTCACTGTGTCGACCAGGCTGGCCTCGAACTCAGAGACCTGCGTGCCTATACCTCCTGAATGCAATTTCCATTTTTGCATCTTTCTAACATTCTTTTACTTATTGTTTTCCTATCTTAATACCAGGAGACATTGTAACAGAGCCCCATATCTCACAACTGACTCCATGATGGAAGTAGTATTCAGGCTGTAAAACTCAGCATGTAGACAACACCACCCGTCAAAACTAAAACCAAGGTCTAATCTATAGTTCAAGAAAAGTCTTTTTAAAAAAATCTTTAAATGTGCTAAACTTCTCTGGTTAGTACAACAATATAATAACATTAAGAAATGAATTTATCGGACTGGAGAGATGGCTTAGAGGTTAAGAACACTGGCTGTTCTTCTGGAGGTCCTGAGTTCAATTCCAGCAACCACATGGTGGCTCACAACCATCCATTATGAGATCTGGTGCCCTCTTCTGTTGTGCAGATATACATGGAAGCAGAATGTTGTATACATAATAAATAAATAAAATCTTTTAAAAAAATGAATTTATCATTTGTTATAAAAACTTTTTCTCTGGGGTGAGGGCAATGTTTGTCCCCTCTTCATAAGGATCCAATGACAAACCAAACTGGTTTAATCAAAGTTCACCCTGGGAGAACCAATGAATCTACTGAACTTACTTACAGAGCATGAGTGAAGGGTTATTGACAGGAAGGAGTGTGGGTACTCTTCATCCAGTATGTATGAGGGCTTCCTCATAGCTGTATATGTGGTTCTTCCTAGTCTTTCCCAACCTATGCATTCTACCTCTGCCCCCAAAACCATGAGGCCATCTGATTAGGGCAGAGTTACATACAGCTGACTGGAAGGAAAGGCTAGTTATTCAGATGAGGGTCTGCTGACACTCGAGCCACTGCTTCTACAAAGGAGCACTTACAATCAATAAGCCCAGCTGTCATGATCTTTTATAAGAATCCACAGCTGGTCTTATGAGGGCGGCAGTTGTTTGGCTTAGAGAATACTGCTGTATAGTACCATCCTAGTAAAGAAAGCTGAATCCAATAATACTACTTGTGTATACACTGTTAAGCTATGAGGCTTCGTAAGTCCCCAGATAAATCTTGTAGTAAACACAAGACATCTTTGTATGTATTCATCCCATTGGTTCTGCTCCTTTGGAGTACCCTGACTAATACACCATCCTGGCCACTCAAACTAGAACACCTGCAGCTGGGATAGTATGATCTTTTCCTTTGCTTAATTATTTGGTTTTAATTTTACTTTAACATTTTGATATTAATATGACATATATTCGCTGGAAAAGTAAGTTGGAGGTAACATGGAAGAATTAAAGAAAAAAAAGAAAAAACCCACAAACCCCAAAAAACCCTAGCCTATGCTACCCTTAGAAGCTTTGTGGTGATTTATTATTCTGACCTAATTCCTTTGTCAATTTGCCCTTCATTTTGTTCTTTTTCATGGTTCAGATGGTTCATGAACATGTTATGTGCTAGCTTTTAGATTGAAGGGCCTCCAGGCTTTCTGGCATCCCAGTTGGTGCTCATCCTCCTGGGGACTTGGTAGACTCATGTTTAGTTCAGGAAACAGCAGCTTGAAACATGGCAGCAGGGCTAGGGCAGGGGTTTAGCTGGTAGAGTGTTTGCATAACATATGGGAAGCCCTGGTTCTACCCCCAGCATTCCATAAACTGGACATGCCAAGTTTAGTTAGCCCCAGAGGATCAGAAGTTCAAGGTCATCCTCTGTCTTCGGCTAAAAGAAACCCCACTGGAAGCAACAACAAACAAACCACTATAACAGCAGAGTTTGGGGCAAAATTCCCCAGGTTTCAGTAAGAAGTTGAGCAGCAATGAGGGGACACTGATACTTTTCTAAGACTGCGAGCTATGTTTTCTGTCTGTTCTTGTTCTGTGCTTCTTTGTAGTATTTAAAATGGTGCTTGGACCACAACTCACCTGGCCTTCCTTCCTTCCTTCCTTCCTTCCTTCCTTCCTTCCTTCCTTCCTTTCCTCCTTTCTTTCTTTCCTCCTTTCTTTCTTGACAGGGTTTCTCTGTGTAACGGTCCTGCATGTCCTGGAACTCACTTTGTAGATCAGGCTGACCTGGAACTCATAGAGATATGCCTGCCTCTGATCCCCAAGTGCTAGGATTAAAGGTGTGCACCACCTCCACCTGGCCATAGGCTACTTAATAATGGTGCTGTTTCTTCCCACTGTTAAGCTAGAGCCCAGGGAAAATGAAAAGCCACTTAAGTGCATACTTAGAAGCACAGCTCACACCATATTTCTTCTCTCTCTCTCTCTCTCTCTCTCTCTCTCTCTCTCTCTCTCTGTGTGTGTGTGTGTGGGGGGTGATGTAGTTTGTGCCATGCTATGTTGTTTTGTGTTGACACAGGGTCTCATGTAGATCAGTCTGACCTCAAACATACTGTATGGCCTAGGCTGACTTTGAACTGATGCTGCTTTTATCTCTCTAGTGTTGGGATTGCTGGCATGTGAAGCCACATCCAGTGTATGTGTGCATGCGTGTGTATGTGGGAAGAATAATAAAAAAAAAATTCTCTCATCTTTTTTCCCTGAACAATACTTAAGGACTGAGCAGCTTGTCAACAACAATATCTTACTCCAGTAGGCACCAGATAATGGTGAAAATCGCTGATTTCCCCACCTTGCACCAATTGTGTTCTAGGTTTTTGTCTTGTCAATTTTTCCACACAGAACACTACACTAAAATTTCAGGACATGATTTGTCAGATATCAGCTGTAACAGGACCCCAGACCTTAGTAGCTCCTGGGCCTCACCACAACTGACTTCATGATGGAAGTACCATTCAGGCTGTAAAACACAGCACATAGACAGCACCACCTGCTAAAATTAAAACAAAGGTCTAATGCATCAAAGTCCGTATAGTTCTAGAAAAGTCTCAAAATGTACTAACCTTGCCTTTTGACTTCTGTAGTTCTGCTTCTGTAGTACTGTTCTTGTTAACTGAAGTGTGCCAACCCAGAACATTATTTTGTGCTTAAAACCTCACCCTGAGAAAGGCTCAGGATTATGCTGGATTCCCAAAGACCCAGTGTAGTCACCAGCCAGCCAATAAAGACTTTCTATTGGCTTAAATCCAAATCTGAGCAGCCTTCTCTGGTGAATACCTCACAACACTGAAGTTTCTCCAAGAACACAAAAAGGTGCAAAACACTAACAAAATGTATGATACTTGTTTCTTTTCAGAGAAATATCAGGAAGAAATGTAATTTTAGGCTCAACACATCTTGAGTGAAATTATACAGTTCATAATTTTTGTCCCCTTTTCGATAGTAGATTGGTCCTTACCTTCTGATGGGTTCTCAAGGGAATCATTCAACTCCAGAGTGTGTTCAAACTTCTGTCAGCTTCAAAATATCTTCAGTTGCTTACTGGTTGATTATCACTGCAGGAGAAATGACTCATTACCTGTTGTGGGCATACTTAAGTCTCTGGCTCAAACATGCTCAAGATGACAGGTAGCTTAGACAATACTGATGCTTTCCCAGGTTATTTGCTGTGCAAATTATTCAGGCTGTGGATGAGTTTTTTTCAGCATTAAGGTCACTATTGTGTGTCAGCAGGCCAGACATCCTTATTTATATTTAGTGTTAACAATAAATGCTGAGTTCCTCTGTATGGCTAGAAAATAGCCCATTTTAAACTTTCCTTCATTCTGGGTAGAATGTAAGTCTAGTACCCTGTGCTCATTGTAATAAAGTCTGGAGCTTTATTTAGAAACCAGTTCTTCTGTGGGGGGGGCTCAGAAATTTCTGGAGCTTGTCAAGAGGAAAGAAAGGAGGAAATAAACCCCCAGCCACATAAGCAACCCTATCTATAAGCATGCTTCTAAGTGAGTTTGTTTCCTTCCTTGAGTTCGCATCTGTTTAATTTGGATCACTGCTTTTGAAAATATTGACTAGGAATAGAAAGCTGCTTTTAACAGCAAGTTGGGTCTGATGATACTAGTGCAATGCCAGCAATAGAGAGGTTGAGGCAGAAGGATGACTGAGAGTTCAAGGCCATCCTCCACTGCAAATGAAAGCCTGTCTATGACATAGATAAAAGCAGGTATTGTTTATCTATCTCCTGTAGGATTTCAAACCGTCATGTTTTGTATCACATTTGGTGGTGGCTGGATGTAGTTCTGTAGTGCAATCCTAGGATGCTCAAGGCACTGGGATAGATTTTTTTTAATGGTGAGAGGTAATAAGTGTTTGTTCTTATGTTTTCTTTTATGAGTCTGGCGGTCAACCTTGGACTTTGCTAGCTGCCTTCAAGAGCCACCCCCTTTCTAGACTCCAAACCCTTTCTCGCCCTCCCTCTCTGGTAGCTTCTCCACAGCCCCACAAGAAGAGCTCTTCTCTGAGCCACCAGCATTTAATGGGAAGGGAGCAAAGTACTTCCCAGTTTGGAAGAGACAATGACTGCTAAGAGTTCTCATTACATGCAGAATACAAGTTTTTTTTTAGACTTGAGGATCCAATTTCCAACCCTGGCATGAAGCAGATTTGAGAGGTGCTCCGGGCAGCACCACGGTCAGCGCCCGCTGAGTCAGCCAGCAGCAGCCGCCGCTTATTATAGCGAGCTGTGAAGGGGGAAAAAGACGCTTTACGCAACAGCCGCCAGGGACCTGGCAAGCCACTCCAGCCCCATATAGGGCAAATGGCTATGATCCAGAAGGGAAAACGGTAGGGTTTGGGTGAGAAGACCTAACTTCCTAACTTTGTTTTCTAAGAAGCTCACCCAGTTGGGAGTTCTGTGAAAAGTGATGGGCGGGGTGGGTCTTTCTCCTGCCCATCCCCTACTCCCAGTAAATAAAGACAACACACACTTTATTTCAGCAAAACAGAATGGCTGGCTTTAATGCTTCAAGTTTTCCATTTCCTTCCACAGGGCTTTGTTTGAAAAATAACAAAATGAGGTAAAACGAGTCAATCTATGTACAGGTCAAAAACAGGTGCCGGCTGCAGTGGCGGCGATGGAGCATGGCGGAAGATGGGCCGCCCTGCAACCACAGCACGATTGTCGTCCTGAGGAGAGAGAGTGTACACAGATGAAGGTGCGCCTAGAAGCATTTGCGGTGCACAATGGAGGGGCCGGCCTCGTCGTACTCCTGCTTGGTGATCCACATCTGCTGGAAGGTGGACAGCGAGGCCAGGATGGAGCCACCGATCCACACTGAGTACTTACGCTCAGGGGGGGCGATGATCTGTAAGACAAAAGTGTCAGGTGTCTGCGTGTCTGCGTGTCCCCCCCGCCCCTGGGTCTCCGCCCACACCAGGCATGTCATCCACCTTGATCTTCATGGTGCTGGGAGCCAGAGCTGTGATTTCCTTCTGCATGCGGTCAGCGATACCAGGGTACATGGTGGTACCCCCTGACATGACGTTGTTGGCGTACAGGTCCTTCCTGATGTCAATGTCACACTTCATGATGCTGTTGTAGGTGGTCTCATGGATCCCCGCAGATTCCATGCCTGGTGCCCGGAAAGAGGCAGTGTGAGCAACCACAGAGTCAGGAGACTAAGAGCACGGGTGGGTTGAGACCTGGTACTTTGAGGCATAGGGGGAGGGAGACAGATCCCGGTACACCAGCCCAGCGGGTGGGCGGGCCGCTCACCGATGAATGAGGGCTGGAAAAGCGTCTCCGGGCAACGGAAGCGCTCATTGCCAATGGTGATGACCTGCCCGTCAGGCAACTCGTAGCTCTTCTCCAGGGAGGAGGAGGAGGCAGCGGTGGCCATCTCATTCTCGAAGTCCAGGGCCACGTAGCACAGCTTCTCTTTGATGTCGCGCACGATCTCACGCTCAGCTGCAGGGGCAGAAGCAATAGGGAGGTCTCAGTGCAAGCCCTGGGGCGCATGCTCGCCCTCCGCGGCCCGCCCTCAACGGCCATTGAAAGCACGCACCTGTGGTCACGAAGGAATAGCCACGCTCGGTGAGAATCTTCATCAGGTAGTCAGTGAGGTCACGACCAGCCAGGTCCAGACGCATGATGGCGTGTGGCAGGGCATAGCCCTCATAGATGGGCACGTTGTGGGTGACACCGTCCCCAGAATCCAACACAATGCCTGAGCAGGGGAGGGACAGTGTGTGAGCGGTGGAGACTAGCAGGGAGAGCAGGGACAGTGGCAAAACACTGGGATAGGGCAGGGGATATCAGGGAATGGATGGGACCGGTGCAGAGCACAGGACTAAGAAGGTGGGCTGGGATGTTGGGACACTATCTGGCCTAGAGTGGGCCATATATGGGCACTTACCGGTGGTACGGCCAGAGGCATAGAGGGACAGCACCGCCTGGATGGCCACATACATGGCGGGCACGTTGAAGGTCTCAAACATGATTTGGGTCATCTTCTCTCGGTTAGCTTTGGGGTTTAAGGGGGCCTCAGTGAGCAGGGTCGGGTGCTCCTCAGGGGCCACACGAAGCTCATTGTAGAAGGTGTGGTGCCAGATCTTCTCCATATCGTCCCAGTTGGTGATGATGCCATGCTCGATGGGGTACTTCAGGGTCAGGATACCTCGTTTGCTCTGGGCCTCATCGCCCACGTAGGAGTCCTTCTGACCCATACCTACCATGACACCCTGTAGATGGAGACACCAGACACTTATTACTACAGATCAGGGAAGCATGGGTTGCACTCAGTGAACCTACCCTTTCCTGCCAGCAGACTGACCTGGTGTCTGGGGCGGCCCACAATGGATGGGAACACAGCCCTGGGGGCATCATCCCCGGCAAAGCCTGCCTTCACCAGGCCAGAGCCGTTGTCACACACGAGGGCGGTGGTCTCGTCTTCGTCGCACATGGTGTCTAGTTTCTGCAAGGACAAGGCCATAAATTAGTGTGGGGGGTGGTTAGGGTAAAGCTCCACCCAACCCACCTTCCCTCTGAAGATCCAGAGATTCATTTCCTCAGCCCCTGGCAGAGGACCAGAGGATGCTGTCCCAGCTCAAGGCTATGCTTTCACTCAGGGAAGCAGTCTATCGGCCACATTAAGTCCTCCAACTAGGTATGCAGGTAACATCCTCTGGAGACCAGAGATCCTCTACCCTCACTCCCACAGCTGGCACTACTGCCATCCTCTCTACTTCCCAATGTCATCTGTGAAGGAGGCATTAAGGCCCCATGCCCACCTGCCTGTCCCGTGAGAGGGTGGAGGACGCTGCCCAGGGGAGGGTAATACCGCCCTAGTTATGGAGCAATTGCCTATTTGAACACCCACAACATCCCAAACCCAGAAAGGACACGTCCACCTGTCTCCTGTTCCAGAGAAGATTAGCTAAGCCTTGCTGGCTTTAGAAAAGCCTTGGGCTCTGAAGTAGTTGCCCCAAGGCTGAGACAATGCTAAATCTCTCCAAATGCATCTTCAAATGAGTCTCCCGGGAGCTGGGGTGTAGCTCTATGGGAGAGGACTCAGATTTAGTCCCAGCAGAGAAAGGGAGAGGAGGAAGGAGAGGTGAAAAGAGGGAGGGAAAATAACTATTTCAGGGAGAGAAATCTCATCCAGCCAGGGACTGGTGCATGGCTCAGTAGTAGAGCAATGGCTCGCTCACTTGCAGGAGGACCTGGATTTAGTCCTCAGTGAGGAGGGGGGCGGATATAGGGTAGTGGGTAGAGATAATCAGAGCTCAGGCACATCCTAAATGCCAAGTCAGCAGCTCAAATGGGTTGAAGATGAGTTTGGAGAATTTTGCAAGCCAAGTTTTCTCTTTAAAGTGTCTGCCTTTAGGGCAGAGTGCAAGGCTAGATACAGGCCCAAGGCTAAACAGCTGGCTCTGCTGGATCTTCCAGGTCACCCTCCCCACCACCACCCTACCTGCTGCTCTGACTCTGGCCCTGGGTGCCGAGGGTGGGATGTGAGGCTTCACGTCCGTGTGACCGCCTGTCCCTAAGCTCAGGTTTTATATAGTCCCTGGGAGCTCTCACCACACCGCCCCGATGGAATGTTGCTGCCCTTCCCAAGCCATATTTGGGTGTCGGGCACTTGAGTCCCTTCCTTAGGCTGGTTCTCAGCCTGGGTCCCCGCCCGGGTCTCCTGCACTGACCAAAGAAGGAGAGGACTGGCCCTGGCCCAGGTAGCTAGGACCGGACCGGGCCATATATGGAGAGTATCCCCAGCTGTCTGCCCCTCCCAACTGGCTCCAATGCTCACTGAAGGGATGTGCTGGGCCAAAGGTCATTGTTTTTGCAGATGACTGGTCTGTATTTCCCAAACTCTACCTGTTTTAAAGGTCTCCCCAGCTCTGCCCACCCTGGGTACATGAGCCTCTGAGAAGGTACTGATTCATGACATGACACATTATACCCCATTTATGGGTTAACTCAGGCTACCAAGCCCTGTTGCTTAAGCCCAAGAGAAGGGAGCCCTATGGTCAGGTGAGCTGGGAGGGTTCACAGGCCCCAAGTAGGGTTAGAAAATAAGCCCCACATTTGAACTCCATATTCTTTCCCACTTCAAAGCCCCCCAATCCAGAGATCTGACCCATATACACTGCCCTCTACCCCCACCCCGCACAGGCTGTAAGTCAGTGTAGGGCATGCAGCTGTCACAGGGCAGACAACTGTTGGAGAGAGGAGGAGGTGGTAGTGAGGGGAGGCATGGGGGCTATGTGGCCCTGGCACATGGCATTTGAGGCCAGATTAGAGCTGTCCCCTACATTCTGCATTGTATTCTTGAATGGAATAGAGTGGTGGTCAGAGTGGGCTGGGGAGGGGGGAGGTTCCTAACTCCAGAACTCTCATTTAGTTGGCTGGGTTGAGCAAATGCTACTACCCCTTCCCCTTGGGTGGCACTGTGTCCTTCCCCTGGGTCTGAAAGAAGGGTCACACCCAGAACTACTGGAGCCTGGAGGGGGCTGAGGCAGAGAGAGATGGTGACGGATGTCCCCTCTAAGAAGCACCAAGACTTTACACTGGAGCCCAGGAGTGGCTTCTCCCAGGCAGACTCATCTTTATATTTAGAGGATGATGCCTGTCCGTCGGCTGCTTTCCATCCACCTAGGAGCCACCACCTGCCAGGCCTGTGCGGGTTCTATTTATACCGCTAATAGATGGGGCTCTGCCTTTGGGTTTCTAGGAGCTACTTATGGAAGATGGGGTGGGGGTGAGCAGAGGTCGTTGCCTCTTGGCGCCTGTCTCAATTTGGGCAGGGAGAACAAGAAAGACCAAGAAAGTGTTGAGGCCAACCAGGCGACATACTTTGAGGGGTGCATCAGAGCCAAGCCACCATGGAGCCATTCATTTTTCTGATGGCTTAAGCGTTCCCAAAATAGTTGTTCACATTTGGAGTGGAACTCAGCAGCTGGGACAGGTGCAGATCCTCTGAGGGCAGAGGCACGCTGAGGCTCCTCCAGACTCCCACACAGCTCTTCCTAAACTGTGGGCTGCACAGCCAAACAGGGCCACCATTAGCTTTGTGGCTTTGTCTTTACCCTATGCTGGGGCAACGAACTATTAGAAACAAGCAGCAAATGCATAGTACATACAGTTTTGGGGAGTCCTTTATTTAGGCCATGAGTGTAGGGAGAAATGTGTTGATGCCCTCCCTGGACACAAGAGGGACTGGGCGGTAAGAGCAGACCGCCCCAGATTGCGGCAAGTCTGCTCACCATAACTCTTTTATCCCACTACAAAGTTTTCTCAGCACAGCATGACATTCAGCACATCCAAAGTCAACCTTGAACAAGTGTCTTTGAACTCCAGGAAACCTACTGCACCACATCTGGCAGAGCAGCAAGCAGGTGAGCAGGGCAGGTGCCCTCCAACCTCAGCTACAGTTTCTTCCTTTCCTGACAAGGCCTCTTTCTCCGGAATCCTAGCTAGATTCAAACTCATTATCTTCCTGCTGGCCTCCCAATGTTGTGAGCAAGCTGATAGGTTCACACTTCTTTCTTTGCCCCTTTACCTCTCACACTCTATTGGCCCTCACACTACCCAGAGGCAAACAGGGCAGGTAACAGTAACACTGCAATGGGCAGCAGCACAGGCCAGCTCTACCCTTCTAACCCTGTAGCAGCTCTGGAACCACAGAGCCACAAGGAGGCGCACACATGGAGGTCAGAGGACAGCTTTGTGGAGCTGGTTCTCTCCTTCCACCTTCATGTAGACTTTGGAGATTGAATTCAGCTGCCAGGCTTGCTGTGCTTCCCTGCTGAGCTATGTGCTGGCCTCAGAAACTGGCTCTATGGAGTAAACACCCCTTGTTTTTATTAAGGCCATGGTATATCTAATTGCATTCCTATACAGGGGACCTGCCATCTAGCAGGTGAGGAAAAACTTTTGGAAAGGCTTTGACTGAGAACAAAGTCAAGGTATGCAAAGTATTCACCATACCTCACATGAAACAAATGGTGGTCCAATACAATCCAAGGCCCATTTCAAAACAGGAACCCAAGGCTTCCTGGTTACACAGTTAGTTGTGTTTATTTTCCCCACATGCCTCAAAAAAATGTTCTAGCCAGGGATAGTGGTGCACACTTGTAGTCTTAGCACTTGGGAAGCCGAGGCAGGAAGACTGAGAGTTTGAGGCCAGCCTGAGCTGTATACTGAGAACTTATCCTAAAAAATGTGATGTATATATATATATATATATATATATATATATATATATATATAAAACAACATATATACTTTTCAGTACATATTTCATTTAGTATGTAGGTTCTTGTCATCTTCAGATGGAGTCTCACTATACAACTGGTTTGGACCTCTCTATGTACACTAGGTTGCTCTCAAATTCAGATCTACCTAGCTCTGCCTCCCAGGTGCTAGGATTAAAGGTATGTGTCACTATATCATACGTGGACTTTTTTTGGTGGGGGGAAGGGTGGTTTTCAAGACAGGGTTTCTCTGTGGCTTTGGAGGCTGTCCTGAAACTAGCTCTTGTAGACCAGGCTGGTCTCGATCTCAGAGATCCCTGCCTCTGCCTCCCAAGTACTGGGATTAAAGGAAAAGGAGTGCGCCACCACCGCCCGGCTCATATGTGGAATTTTTATACATGAATATATAATCATTCTGAGGATAGAATGGGAGTGGGTAGGCAGTAGTGGGACCGTAGTTAGCCTGGAAACACTCAAGAAGATGGGATAATGATAGCTAGCCTGAGATGCCATGAATCTGTCTTGGAGATTGCTGGCACTTCCCACAGCAGCCAGTCAAGAGGATAAAATGAAATCTCTGCCTCTATACCCCCAGGGCCCCTTACTGGGGTTTACAGAACAACATCCATGGGCAGTGTTTGTGAAAGGACCAACTATGGTGAAACTGGAAACAATCAGGAAATCATAGACTCAGGCTCACTGACTCAATACTGAGATTACAGCCAGTGTAATCACCATATTTGGTAGCAGTGACAATTTACTGATAGCTCAGAAAGCCACACAAACATCTTACTCACTAAAACACTTTTAAGATTCATCCATTATTGATAGGTGTGGTGTCCTTTAACTCCAGGACTTAGGAGGCAGGTGGATATGAGTCTGAGGTTAACCTGTCTACAATAGTGAATTCCAGATCATCCAGTTACATAGTAAGACCCTATCTCCATGTTTGTTGTTGTTTGTTTTAATCAATGTAGAAAGTGAGGAACATTCCCCATGAGTTACCAGCTGTCACCTTTCATGAGTTAAGAGCCTCTATATTTGTTTCTCAGTCACATAGTAAGTCAATAAAATCTGACATTCAGTTTGCTAAGTAGGTACGTCCCTCTGGCTTTGACCTAAAGAGAGATCAACATCCCAGAGGATCTTTAGTGTACCAAATCCAGAGTCACAGTGACTCCAAAGACAGATTAGAGCAATCTTGAAAAACACTGTTTTCCTTAATTTTTTGAAATTAAAATATAATTAAATTATTTTTCCTTTCCCATGCCCCCTCCAACACCTCCATGCTCCCCTGCACTCAAATTCATGGCCTCTTTTAGTTGTTGACCTAAATATATAAGCACAACCTGCTCGGTCCACAAAATATTATTTGTATGTATATTATTTAAAGGTTGACATTGGATAACGAACTAGGGGGAGGGAGTGGCAATCTGTTTTGGTTTTCAAGTCCAGACCTTGCTATGCTGTCCAGACTGGCTTTGAACTCAGTATCTTCCTGTCTCAGGCTCTAGTGTTGGGATTACAGGTACATGTCACCAAACTTGACTCAACCTTACAATCCTCAAAACAGACATACTATGCACAAGGAGGCAGTGCCAGAGAAAAACTGCATGCCTCACTGGACCAAGGGAGACTGGAGAAAGGGCAGAAACACAGAAACAAGGGTGACTTCAAGTAGAAAATGAGAAGAAAATATCTTACAACTGAAAGAAAATCAGGGTTATGCCCCATTTTATATTATAGCTCCCAAATAAAGCATTGAAAAAATACCTGGCTGCCACAGATGAAATTATATAAACTTTTAAACTGATTAAAACTTACTTTTTTGGCATCAAAATTTTTATAAGCAAATATTTATAAAATTTTAGAAGCAACAATTTCTACAAATGTCATATCTGTCCCTGAACATAATACTCATAATTTGCTTTTAGAACAAACTCAAAGTAAGGATTGGATTTCAGGCTTCCCAGCTGGTCTGCTTGAAGTAGGTCCTTCACCTCTGGCAAGTATTCGCTGAGCTGGATGCCTGCAAACAAAACACAGTCACTTATGATTTCAGAGATTCCCCAGTGAATGAGAGGCTGGCGCCAGTCACTAACATGCCCCATACTGGAGCCTCCTCCTAATCACAGTGCCGTAGGTCTGACAACAGCTTCTTCAGTGCCACCTGCAGGCTCTCACTGGTCAAAGCAGCCACTTCAGGTGAGGTCTGCAATAGTCTGCAATTGTCATTTTCTACACTTAATTCCAGCACTCAGCACTCTGAAGGCAGAGGCAGGCAGATCTCTGTGAGTTCAAGGCCAGCCTGGTCTACAAAGCGAGTGCCAGGATAGGCTCCAAAGCTACACAGAGAAACCCTGTCTTGAAAAAAAAAAAAAAATCAAAAGACATTCTTTCAATGCAGAAGTTTTCAACTAATAGTCATTTCTGTGTTACCCTAACTGGGGAATAATATAATAGAAATACTGTCACAGAGCTGGCCACAATACCATAAAGGTATCAGTTTAATGTGGATGGCTGTCCTTCCAGTGCTCAGGATGCTGAGGGAGGGAATCCCTTGAACCTGAAAGCCCAAGACCAGTCTGGACAGCACAGTAAGACAGTCCCAAAGAAATAAAAACGCACATACAGCAGCATTTCAACTGAGTCAGAGACTAGAAGGATAATGGGGTCAGGAAAGCCAGGAAGCACCAATCAATGGACTATTGAAGCCACAGCAATTACATTTAACCTCACTTGACCAAGAAAATGGAACGAAAACTTTTAAATGAATAAGATCATATAATTTGTTGTATGAATATCAGATTGTCTGGTTTTAAGGAAGATAATCCTGGGGGGGGAGTACTTGTCCAGTAAAAATATTCTTGAAGCATCCAGCACCATCTTTTTGAATTTTTTATAATGATAAATTGAATAATTCTGCACCATCAAAAAACAAGGGTCTACTGAGCAACTATGTACCAGGTAGGGGTAGGTATGTTTTATGTAGATTAAATGATACATCTTGCATACATAAGCAGAGCAAATGTTGGGGTCATGTGAATGCCATCCCAGTAAATACCATTCATATTCACTCTGCAGGATCACTGGACTTAGGATACATGTCACTGTATGTTCTTCAAATATAGCCCTGAATCTAAAAGATCTGCCAGAGGTAGGTTGGTTGGGCTGCATACTGCCTGGACCTGGCATGCTGGGTTTTGATCTAATGGATTTTTTTTTTTAATTTACTTAATTTTTATTTTATGTGCATTGGTGTGAAGGTATCAGAACCATTGAAACTGGAGTTACAGACAACTGTGAGCTGCCATGTGGGTGCTGGGAATTGAACCCAGGTCCTCTGGAAGAATAGCCAGTGCTCTTAACTGCTGAGCCATCTCTTAAGCCATCTTTTGTTTTTTTAAAGATAGAATTTCTCTGTATAGCCATGGTTGTCCTGGAACTTGCTCTGTATACCAGGCTGGCCTTGAACTCAGAGAGATCTGCTTCCCAAGAGCTGAGATTAAAGGTATGTATATACCACCACCCAGTGTTTTGATCTAGTAATTCTATAAGAATCATACTTTTTGTATGTTTGTTTTGTTTTTTATTTTCCAAGACAGGGTTTCTCTGTATGACAGGCCTGGCTGCACCTTAACCCTGGTCCCCCAGAGCAGAGTAGAAAAGTAGCTTCACTGAGAACAAGCTGTACTATGTCATGTTGGCAACATCCAGTTCCGGTGGTATCCCAAATCAAAAACAAGATTTCGTTTCTTTCTTTCTTTCTTTCTTTCTTTCTTTCTTTCTTTCTTTCTTTCTTTCTTTCTTTTTTTTTGGGGGGGGGGGGAGACAGTGTTTTTCTGTGTTTGAGACAGTGTAACAGCCCCTGGCTGTCCTGGAACTCCCCTAGTAGATCAGGCTGGCCTCAAACTTGGAGATCCGCCTGTTTCTGCCTCCTGAGTGCTGGCAACATTTAATTTCTAAGTTAACAAACCACTTACCATCTTTTATAAGTTTCTGCAAAATCTTCACAAATACACTGTCTTTAGACACTTCGATTGGATCATCTTTGCCATCTGAACTAGACCAGCTGGAAGAAAAACCATGAGGGAAACTGAATCATCATGGCAACTGAGACAAATGGTTTCTGTTTGCTACTGTGGCTTTCTCCTGATGGCTGTGGGACATAATGTTAAGTTCTGTGACCTTGCTTCAAGTTATCAAAATAATGGACTTTAAATGTGGGACACATGTAAATCTGTTTTGACCTAAGCTACACTGGCAGCAGATGCCATGCCAACATTACCACCACCATACAATTTTAAAATGGCTTTATTTGGGGGGGGGCACATAGCATTTTGCTATGTAGTGCAGGCTGGCCCTAAGCTCTTGATCCCCGTACCTTGCCTCTCAGGTGCTAGAATTACAGGTATGTATCATGTATCATCACACCCGGTGTGAGGCATCATTCCAAAGAAAATGCTTCAAGTAACAAATCTAGTCAGGAACTTAAAATGCTGTCTTTCTGAGCACAGTAGTAGAAACAATTTTCAGCAAATTCTAACTTTATTGAACAGGATTGCACTACAACAAGGTGAAGAAGAGTGGCTTTCTTTCAAGTGGACATGAGCACACACCATTGCTTTCTGGTGCTAAAGACGCACAAGCCACAGGCAACCTAAAACTCAGACTAGAAGCTAGAACAAGGGCTGGCAAGATGGCTCAGTGGATAAACATGCTTGCCATGCAAGTCTGATAATCCAAGTTTGATACTTAGTAAAGGGAGGTGGAAGGAGAGAACTGATTCCAGCAAGTTATTCTTTGACCATTATATGTGTGTTCTGGCCTGCCCGCAATCGCACATATATACACACAAGTAGTTAAAAAAAATTTTAAACTAGGACAGGGAGTTCTCATCAAAATTATAACCATATGGTGGCTCCCAATTGTCTGTAATTCTAATTCAGGGGATGAACATCTTCTGTGGGCACCAGGCAGACATGTGTTGCACAGATATACACTCAGCAAAACACTCACATGCTAACTAAATCTTTAAAGAGGCAGAGGCTGTCAGATCTCTGAGGCCAGCCTGGTCTACAGATCCAGTTCCAGGTCAGCCAGGGTTTCAGAGGAAAACCCTACTTCAAAAACCAGAACAAAATAGTGAGATCACCACTATGCTCAGAGCATGCTGAAATACCCAGAAGCACATAGGCCCATCTTGTGCACCAAGTTACAGTTCTGATGGAAGCAGTTCCTGCCTATGGACCTGGCGCCCCAGCAAGGACTTACTCATC